AAAGGTGAGGTGAAGGTGAGGTGAGGTGAAGTGAAGGTGAAGGTGAGGTGAGGTGAAGGTGAAAGATGGGGTGGGAAGGTGAGGTGAGGGTGAAGGTGAAGGTGAGGTGAGGTGAAGGTGAAAGGTGAGGTGAAGGAGTGAAAGATGGTGGGAGTGAAAGGGGAGTTGAAGGTGAGGTGGGGTGAAGGTGAAAGGTGTGAGGTGAGAAAGGAGTGAAAGGTGGGGTGAAGGTGAAAGGTGAGATGAGGTGAGGAGTGGAAAGGTGAGGTGGGAGGTGAAAGGTGAGGTGGTGAAGGGTGGAAAGTGAAGTTGAGGAATGAGGTGAGAGGGATAAAAGGTGAAAGTGAGGAACATCTCTGCTACACCATACAATATACATCACATACATATATAGTGTATAACCTAACCTACATAAGACCATACAGCATATACATCATACATACATACACGTGTAGATGTATAACCTAACCTACACCCAGACCATACACAGACTATACATCATACATACATACACGTGTAGATGTATAACCTAACACACCCCACACCATACACAATATATCACATACATACACGTGTAGATGTATAACCTAACCTATACCTCAGACCATACACAGCTATACATCATACATACATACACGTGTAGATGTAAACTAACCTCATCTAAACACTGTATAAATGTACTAAAATTAATTCAACATTACACAACACATTTAACTCCAAACATCTGTACCAACGTGATAATATTAACATCTGTCATAACTTCATAAACACCTGTACAGCGTTAATACATATTTACATAACATACAATACCTGTATTTAATTAAACACCTGTATTAGTTACATAAAACTACTAGGTACTATTTTTTAATAATTAAAAATATAAAATAATAAAAACAAGACGGTTTTTAAAATTAGAAAAAAAATTAAGTACAAAGTATTACTAAAAAATATTATTCGATAAAAATAATCAAATGACATTTTTTAAGTATAACAATATTTAAACTTTGTGAAAAATATAATAAGAAAATATTTAAGATAATAAAATTATAAAAAATAATTACGATAATAAGTTAAATTAAGCCATAAAAAAAAAAAATTGGGACAACAAAAATAAAAAATTAAATATGAAAAATAAGAAAAATTAAATTAACACGAGAAAAAAAAAAATTAGACGAGAAAAACCAAAGAAAAATCAAATAAATTATGAATAAATAAATAAAATAATTAAGAAAACAATAATTAATAACATTTATTCACAAATATAATCAATACCATAATTAAAACCACAAGACAATTAATTAGCAATATAATCAAGAGAATAATTAACACGAAAATAATTTTAAGTTTTATACCAAGAATAATTGATTACAAAATTATTATTTAACCCAAAAAATACAACTAAATATTTAATTGTGAAATAAATACAAAAATAAAATACTTGTTAGGTAGGAATATTACACTGGAGAGAGAAGAGAAAATGTGTGTGTGAGAGAAAACAATAATGTGGGAGAGAGAGAGAGAGAGAAACAATAATGTGAGAGAGAGAGAGAAACAATAATGTGAGAGAGAGAGAGAAGTCACCAGACCGTTCACTATTTGCCAGCGATCAGCGGTAAATCTTCGCCGTAATGTGTTTGTTCAGGAGCTCCGACCAGACCTGCCATGTCAGGCCTAGTGATCCTGGGGCTTCACCAGGCTTCACGGGGCTTCAACAGGCTTCACGGTGGTGGGGGAGGTGAGGAGGAGGAGGATGGAGGAACGAGGCTTCATGAGGCTTCAGCAAACGTCGACTTATTTGCAGCAATCAGTTGGGTTTGTTCCGTGCTTCGAACCTTCCCACTTCCTTTGTTCACAAGTGTCGATCCCTGAGTTACAAGGTGTTTCATGAGGGTTCAGTGGGGATTCATGAGGTGTTTCATAGAGTTCAGTGGGGATTCATGGGGTGTTTCATGAGGGTTCAGTGGGGGCTCATGAGGTGTTTCATGAGGGTTCAGTGGGGATTCATGAGGGTGTTTCATGAGGGGTTCAGTGGGATTCATGAGGTGTTTCATGAGGGTTCAGTGGGGGTTCATGAGGTGTTTCATGAGGGTTCAGTGGGGGTTCATGAGGTGTTTCATGGCTTCAGGAGGTTTCTGGGACTTCAATACAGGGGTTCAGGAGGCAAGGGAGTTTCAGAACCTTAAGGAGGTTTCAGTGGGAATTCATGAGACTTTGCTTAGCTTCAATACTCTTTTGTGAGGCTTCGTAATATTTTAGGACTGGACGAGGCTTCAGGAGCTTCAGAATGTGATGGGGTTTCAAAAGACCTATGAAAGCTTCAGAAATACTTTAAAGGAATCATAAGACTTAGAGATTTATGAGGCTTCAAAAGGCTTCATAAAACTTTAAAAAGCTTCATTTGGGACTCTAGAAGCTTCAAACGATTCATGAGGCTTCAAAAGGATTCAGGAATGCTTAAGGAGGCTCTCGAAGAGGCTATAAAGCTTCAATGAAGTTCATCAGGCTTATAAAGCTTCAATGGGGTTTCATGAGGCTTCACCTTGCGCATCATGGCTCCACACGGTCTATGAGGCTTCGTAGAGTCAACAATTCTCTAACAATCAGCGGTAAGGTTCGCCGTCGTGTTTGTTCCGGAACTCGAACTTTCCGGTCTCGCTTTACTCAAACCCTAACGATCGGAGACTTAACCGAGACTTTACCCTGTCTACCTGCTGTTTTAAGGCTTCACCTGTTGTATCAAGGCTTCATTTCTTAAGCCAGTTCTATGAAGCTTTGTTGCCAAAGACTCAATTACATTTAAAGAGTAAGTTCCGGGGCTTCGAAGCTTCATTTCTGCTTCAAGCTCAAATGGGTTCAGATAGCTTCAGAAGGCTTCAATACACTTAGGAAGGCTTCCATTATTATGATATTTGGGTTCATGAGGCTTCGTTAGCAGAAAGCCTTGGGTGGATAATGGCTGTGACGGATGGCTGGCTGGCTGGACGGATGGCTGGCTGGCTGGACGGATGGATGGGTGGGATAGGTGAGATTGGGTGGCTGGGTGGAGTGGTGGGCGGCTGGGTGGGTGAGTGGGCGGCCGGGCGGGTGAGTGGGCAGCCGGGCAGGGTCTTGGAAGATGGCCTAACTTGTCTGGGTTAAGTTAATGAAACAAGGAGAGAGGAGGTCGCGAAGGCTGATTGAGACCACCGATTCTCCGCTCAAGTTTAATTAGATCTGCTATACCCCCTCCCTACCCCTCCCCCTCCCCTCCCTACCCCCTCCCCCTCCCTCCCCCTCCCCTACCCCTCCCCTCTCCCTCCCTACCCCTCCCCCCTCCCTCCCTACCCCTCCCCACCTCCCTCCCTACCCTCCCCTCTCCCTCCCTACCCGCTCTCCTTCCCTACCGCTCTCCTTCCCTCCCTCCCCTACCTTCCCCTTCCCTCCCCTACCCTCTCCTTCCCTCCCTTTCTACCCCTCCCTTTCCCTGCCTCCTTCCCTCTACTCCCCCTCCCTCCCTACCGCTCCCCTTCCCTCCCCACCTTCCCTTCCTTCCCTCCCTACCGCTCCCTCTTCCCTCCCCTCCCCTCCCTCTACCGCTCCCCTTCCCTCCCCTACCCTCCTCTTCTCCCCCCTCCCCTACCCCCTCTTCCCTCCTTCCTTCCCTCCCCCACCCCTCCCTCCCTTCCTTCCCCCCCCCCCCTCCCTGACAAGAAGGTAACGAAAAATAAATGATCTTTCAACTCTCCTCTCTCCCTCTCAGACTATCTTGATTCCCTCCTTCAACTCTCTCCTTCCCTCCCTCTCCTTCCATTCCCTCCTTCCCCAACTCTCTCCTTCCTTCCCTGTCTCTCTTCTTCCCTCCCTCCCTCGCCCTTCCCTCCATCTTGGGAGAAAGATGGAGAAATGAGAAAGGCTGTCGTAATTTCTCCTCCTCCCTCCCTCTCCCTCTCTCTCTCTCTCTCTCTCTCTCTCCCTCTACCTCTCTCATACTTTTCTCATATAATCACATTTCTTCTCTCTCTCTCTCTCTCTCTCTCTCTCTCTCTCTCTCTCTCTCTCTCTTTTTCTCTCTCTCTTTTTTTTCTCCCTCCTCCCCTCTCTCTCTCTCTCTTTCTCTCCCCTCTCTCTCTTTTCTCTCCCCCCCCCTCTCTCTCTCCGAATAGTGATAACCTGCCTTAGTATCTTGGTCAAGTCTCGCTATCCTATCACGATACGTCTCGCTAATTCAGCACTGTCTCGTTATCTCACAGTGGCATCTCGCTATCCTACCGTGAAGTCTCGCAATGGTACCATGAGATCTCGTTATGGTACATTAAGTCTCGCAATGGTACCATGAGGTCTCGCTATGGTACATTAAGTCTCGCAATGGTACCATGGGGTCTCTCTATGGTACATTAAGTCTCGCAATGGTACCATGAGGTCTCTCTATGGTACATTAAGTCTCGCAATGGTACCATGGGGTCTCTTTATGGTACATTAAGTCTCGCAATGGTACCATGAGGTCTCGCTATGGTACATTAAGTCTCGCAATGGTACCGGGGTCTCGCTATGGTACATTAAGTCTCGCAATGGTACCATGAGGTATATAACTATGGTACATTAAGTCTCGCAATGTACCATGAGGTCTGTCTATGGTACATTGTCTCACAATGGTACCATGAGGTCTCTCTATGGTACATTAAGTCTCGCAATGGTACCTGCGAGGTCTCGCATAGTACATTAAGTCTCGCAATGGTACCATGGGGCTGCTATTGTACATTAAGTCTCGCAATGGTACCATGGGGTCTGTCTATGGTACATTAAGTCTCGCAATGGTACCATGGGGTCTCTCTATGGTACATTAAGTCTCAATGGTACCATGAGGTCTCTGCTATAGTACATTAAGTCTCACAATGGTACCATGGGGTCTCCTATTGTACATTAAGTCTCGCAATGGTGCCATGAGGGTCTCGCATGGCACATTAAGTCTCGCAATGGTACCATGAGGTCTCGCTATGGTACATTAAGTCTCGCATGGTACCATGAGGCTTCTATGGTACATTAAGTCTCGCAATGGTACCATGAGGTCTCGCTATGGTACATTAAGTCTCGCAATGGTACCATGAGGGTCTCGCTATGGTACATTAAGTCTCGCTATGGTACCATGGGGTCTCGCTATGGTACATTAAGTCTCGCTATAGCACCATGGGGTCTCGCTTTCTGGGGAGGAGAGAGACGATAACAGCGGATTAGTCCCCAAAACAAACTATTTCCACCAGGTAGATAAACAAAGGTGTTCCACAAAGGTGGTTTGAGGAATATTCTCTCTTCATACAAACACATTTTCTGTTTGAAGAAACGATAGAAAAGAAATAATAATAACAATAAAAACAACGATAACAAACAAAAATAATAATACGCTAATAATTACCGTAATTACCGACGACTTTACTAAACAGGTGAATTAATTACCCACAGGTAGACCATAACAAAAGTTTATGTAACGTGTTGTACCATTATGTAATTAAGACTCAGTTAGCTCTAAGGGGTGCGTCGGTGGTCGAGTGGTAACACCCCTCATCTACTGTCCTAATGATCGCTGGTTCGAGTCTGGGGTTGTCGACCCACCTGTGTTATGGTGACTAATTGTGCAGGTGAGGTAATGAAGGTGGTCGAGTACAGTGTCTGTCTCAGTGCTTCCTGTATAGTGAAGTAAGGGCTTAGTGTAGTTTGGTCTCTCTCTCTCTCTCATTCACTGTATCTATCTATCTATCTCATTCTGTCTCCCTCTCTCTTTCTGTCTCTTCTCTGCATCTCTCTCTCTCTCTCTCTCTCCTTTCTCTTTCTGTCTCATTCTCTGCATCTCTCTTTCATCTCTCCTTTCTCTTTCTGTCTCTCAATCTCTGCATCTCTCTCTCATTCTCCCTCTCCCCTCTCTGCCTCTCAATCTGTCTCTCTCTCTTTCTATCTCTCCCTTTCTCTTTCTGTCTCTCATTCTCTGCATCTCTCTCTTTCTCTCTCTCCTCTCTCTCTCCTCTCTCTCTCACTGGCCGCTGTTGTCCGTAATATTTAACAGAGGATGAGGAACTGTCCAGTAAACACAGCAGAGGAACGGCGTCCCGGTGTTGGCCTGGTCTCTGTTTACCTTCCCCACACCCACCAGGCCGCCCACACCGCCCACCCACCCCACCCACCCACCCCACCCACCCACATACCTGACCCACCTTCCTACCTAGACCAATCCACGCATACATACTCATTTAAGCAGTATTTTGACCCACCACCCAACCCACCTACCCACTCCAGCCACCCACCCACCCAACCCACCTACCTACAAGCCCCATACACTTACACTATCCTTATCTGTCCTGAGATTTAAAATATCCACTATTTCAAACCAACACACACACACACACACACACACATATCTTATCTAAAACACGTATGTACATCCAGCTATGTAGGTGGGGTGCCCACAAACAACCACAAACTACCTCAAACTACACAAACAACCTAGCACTATCAAGCTACTTCAAACTATCAAACTACCAACTGCCATAACTGCCCCTCAGAGCCTGCCTAAGCTGGCCAGCACATCAGGCTACTCTCATCAAACTACTTAGCAACCCTATTCCCCACAACACCCAGAGCTACCTCAAACTACACCCAGAGCAACTGGCCAAGAGCCACCTCCAAACTACGCAAGCTGCTTCCAGGCTGCCCTGAAGCTGACCAGAGCGCATCAGAGCTGCCTGAGCTGCCGCAGAGCTGTCAGAGCTGCAGAGCACCATCAGAGCTGCCCCAAACCAGCCATGAGCTGCACACCCCAGGCAACCGCAGGCTGCCGCAGAGCTGCTGCAGAGCTGCCCCCAGACAGCCGCCAGGCTGCCCCAGGCAACCGCGGGCTGCCGCCAGGCAACCGCGAGCAAGCCGCCAGACTGCCGCCAGGCAACCGCAGAGCTAAGCTGAGGCCCGCAGGCTGCCGCCAGGCTGCCGCCAGGCTGCCGCAGAGCTGCCGCAGAGCTGCCGCCGGTGCCGCGGAGCTGCCGCAGAGCTGCCGCCAGAGCTGCCGCCAGGCTGCCGCCAGGCTGCCGCAGGCTGCCGCCAGGCTGCGCCGGAAACGCGCGGGCTGCGCCAGGCTGCCGCAGGCTGCCGCGTGCCCCAGGCTGCCGCCGGGCTGCCGCGGAGCTGCCGCCAGGCTGCCGCCAGGCTGCCGCGGAGCTGCCGCAGGCTGCCGCCAGGCTGCCGCGGAGCTGCCCCAGGCTGCCGCGGGCTGCCGCCGACGCGCAGGCTGCCGCCAGGCGCCGCAGGGCTGCCGCGGGCTGCCGCCAGGCTGCCGCGGGCTGCCGCGGGCTGCCGCGGGCTGGCGACTGACGCCGCAGGCTGCCCCAGGCTGCCGCAGGCTGCCGCCGGGCTGCCGCCAGACTGCCGCCAGGCTGCCAGGCTGCACAGGCAGCCGCAGGCTGCCAGGCTGCCGCAGGCAACCGCGAGCTGCCGCCAGGCTGCCGCCGGGCTGCCGCCAGGCTGCCGCAGGCTGCCCCGGAGCTGCCGCAGGCTGCCGCCGGAGCTGCGCCGGGCTGCCAGGCTGCCGCCAGGCTGCTGCCAGGCTGTGCCGGAGCTGCCGCGGAGCTGCCGCCAGGCTGCCGCAGGCTGCCGCGGGCTGCCCCAGGCTGCGCCGGAGCTGCCGCCAGGCTGCCGCAGGCTGCCGCGGGCTGCCGCGGAGCTGCCCCCGGAGCTGCCGCAGAGCTGCCGCCGGAGCTGCCGCCAGGCTGCCGCAGGCTGCCCCAGGCAACCGCAGGCTGCCGCGGAGCTGCCGCAGGGCTCGCCGCCAGGCTGCGCCAGGCTGCCGCAGGCTGCCCAGGCAGCCGCAGGCTGCCGCCAGAGCTGCCCCAGGCTGCCGCAGACTGCCGCCAGGCCTGCCAGGCTGCCGCCAGGCTGCCCCCAGACTGCCGCCAGGCTGCCGCAGGCTGCCGCCAGGCTGCCCCAGACAGCCAGAGCTGCCGCCAGACTGCCGCCCAGGCTACCGCCAGGCTGCCCCCAGGCTACCGCAGGCTGCCGCAGGCTGCTGAGCTGCCGCCAGGCTGCCGCAGGCTGCCCAGGCCTGCCAGGCTGCCCCCAGGCAACCGCAGGCTGCCGCAGGCTGCCCAGGAGCTGCCCCCAGGCAACCGCAGAGCTGCCCAGAGCTGCCGCAGGCTGCCCAGAGCAGCCCGCAGGCTGCCGCCAGGCTGCCGCAGGCTGCCGCAGGGCTGCCGCCCAGGCCCACCCAGGCTGCCCCGCCAGGCCTGCCCCAGGCAAGCCGCCAGGCTGCCCGCGGAGCTGCCGCCAGGCTGCCAGGCTGCCCCCAGGCTGACCGCAGGCTGCCGCAGGCTACACAGGCCAGCCAGAGCTGCCGCCAGACTGCCGCAGGCTGCCGAGCTGCACCCAGGCGCTGCCCCCCAGGCTGCCATGAGCTGCTGGCTGCCAGGCTGCCGCAGGCTGCCAGGCCAATACAGGACACCGCCAGGCTGCCCCAGGCTGCCGCAGGCTGCCAGGGCTGCCCCGCAGGCTGTGCCGCCAAGTTGCCCGCCCAGGCTCACCACCCAAGCTGCCTAGGCTACTGAGCTGCCGCCAGGCTACGCAGGCTACCGCCAGGCAGCCGCCAGGGCAACCGCAAACTGCCCCAGGCTACCTTGAGCCACTGCCGGGCTGCCGCCAGAGCTACCCCCAAACAACCGCAGAGCAACCGCCAGGCAACCGCAGGCAAACTGCCAAAGCAACCGCAAACTACCCCAGGCGCACCGAGCTGCCCGCAGCAACCGCAGAGCAAGCCGCAAACTGCCCTGCCAGACTGCCGCAAACAACCGCAAACTGCCGCCAAACTGCCCCAAGCAACCGCAGAGCTGCCGCAGACTACCGCCAGACTGCCGCCAGTGACCGCCAGGCTGCCCCAGGCAACCGCAGGCAACCGCCAAACTGCCCCCAAACCAACCGCAAGCAACCACCAAGCTACCGCAGGCTGCCGCCAGGCAACCGCCAGAGCAACCGCCAGGCAACCGCAAACCAACCGCCAGAGCTGCCGCAAACAACCGCCAGGCACCGCCAGAGCTACCGCAAACTGCCCACCACGCCAAACAACCGCCAAACACAACCGCAAACTACCCCAAACAACCGCCAACTACCAGGCAACCGCGAAGCAACCGCCAGGCTGCCCCAGAGCAAGCCGCCAGAGCTGCCGCCGAGCAACCGCAGGCAACCGCGGGCTGCCCCAGGCAACCGCAGAGCAACCGCCGAGCCAACCGCAGAGCAACCGCAGAGCTACCGCAAACAACCGCCAGAGCTGCCGCCAGCAGCCGCAAACTGCCGCAAAGCTGCCGCAGGCAACCGCAAGGCAACCGCAAACTACCCCAGAGCAACCGTGAGCTACCCCAGAGCAACCGCAAACAACCGCAAACTGCCCAAACAACCGCAAACTACCGCAAACAACCGCCAAACTACCCCCAAGTAACCGCCAAACAACCGCCAAACAACCGCAAACAACCACCAGACTGCCCAGAGCAACCGCAAACTACCACCAAGCAACCCCAAACTGCCAAACTGCCGCAAACTGCCTGCCAAGCAACCGCCAAACTACCCCCAAACTACCGCAAACCGCAAGCTACCGCCAGAAACTGCCACCAGAGCTGCCACCAAGCTGCCCCCAAACAACGCAGGCTGCCGCAAGCAACCGCAAACTACCGCAAACTACCCGCAAACTGCCGCCAAACCCTGCAAACTACCCCAGGCAGCCGCGAGCTGCCCACCCAGGCTGCCGCAGGCTGCCCCAGGCAGCCCCAGGCTACTGAGACTACCGCAGGCAACCGCAGGCTACGAACTGACCGCTGACCACCGCCAGGCAACCCGCAGAGCTACCCTGGGCACCAGGCAACCGCAGAGCTACCCCCAGGCAACCGCAGAGCTACCGCCCAGAGCTGCCGCCGACAACCGCCAGGCTGCCGCCAGGCAACCGCAGGCTGCCCCAAAGCAACCGCAGGCAACCGCAAACAACCGCAAGCTGCTGCACCAAGCAACCGCAGAGCTGCCCCAAGCAACCCGCAAGCAACCGCCAGAGCTGCCGCCAGAGCAGCCGCAATCTGCCCCCAAGCAACCGCCAAAGCTGCCCCAAACAACCGCCAGCCGCCAAACGACCGCAAACTGCCGCCAGGCAGCCGCCAGGCTACTGAGCAACCGCCAGGCAACCGCCAGAGCTACCCCAGGCAACCGCAGAGCTACCCCAAACAACCGCAGGCAACCGCAAACTGCCGCCAAACAACCGCCAAACTACCCCAAACAACCGCAAACAACCGCAAACTACCGCAAACAACCACCGACTACCCCAAACAACCGCAAACTGCCCCAAACAACCGCCAGGCAACCGCAGAGCTGCCGCAGACAACCGCAAGCTGCCCCCAGGCAACCGCAGGCAACCGCAAGCTGCACCCAAACAGCCGCAAACTGCCCCAAACAACCGCAGGCAACAGACAACCGCAAACAACCGCAAACAACCGCAGAGCAACTAGCCAAGCAGCCACCGAGCTACCCCAGACAACCGCCAAACCGCAGGCTACTGAGCAGGACCGCCGAGCTGCCCCATGAGCAACCGCCAGGCAACCGCAGGCTGCCGCAAACAACCGCAGGCACACTAGGCAACCGCAGACAACCGCAAACCAGCCACGGTAACCGCAGGCTACCCCGAGGCGCGAGCTGCCCCAAAGCAACCGCAGGCAACCGCCAGAGCTGCCGCCAAGCAACCGCAGGCTGCACAAGCAACCGCCAGGCAACCGCCGAGCAACCGCAGGCAAACCGCAGGCAACCGCAGGCACTGAGCAACCGCCAGGCTACCTGAGCTGCCGCCAGAGCAACCGCCAGGCTCCCCCAGACAACCGCCAGAGCAACCGCAAACAACCGCAAACGGCAATCTGCCCCAGGCAACCAGGCACCACCCCCAAGCAACCGCAAACTGCCGCAAACAACCGCAGTACCCCAAACAACCGCAAACTACCCCAAACAACCACCAATCTGCACCCCAAACAACCCAATCTACCCCAAACAACCGCCGAGCAACCGCAAACAACCACCAATCTACCCAAACAACCACCAATCTGCCCCAAACAACCGCAAACTGCACCGCCAAAACCAACCACCAAACTACCCCAAACAACCGCCAAACAACCGCGAACAACCCAACCGCCAAACTACCCCAAACTACCACCAACAACCGCCAAACTACCCCAAACAACCGCAAACAACCGCCAAACTACCCCAAGCAACCGCAAACTACCCCAAACAGCCACCAGGCTACCCAAACTACCGCAAGCAACCGCAGAGCAACCGCCAAACTGCCCCCGAGCAACCGCCGACCTGCCAAACAACCCCAGACAACCGCAAACTGCCGCAAACAACGCCGACTACCCCAAACAGCCGCAAACTACCGCAAACTGCCGCAGGCTGCTGCCCGACAACGCCAAACTGCCCCCCAAACTGCCGACATGCGCCAGGCTCGCCACCGACAGCCGCCAAACAGCCGCCCAAACCGCCACCGGCGAAGCCGCAGGCTGCCCCGAACCAACCGCAGGCTACCGCGAAGCAACCGCCAAGCTGACCGCCAGGCTGCCCCAGAACTGCCGCCAGGCTGCGCCAGGCAAGCCGCCAGGCTGCTGCCAGAGCTGCCGCAGGCTACCGCAGGCAACCGCCGCAAGCTGCCGAGCAACCGCAAGCTGCCGCCAAGCAACCGCCAAGCTGCCGCAAGCTGCCGCAGAGCTGCGCAGGCAACCGCAGAGCTGCCCGACAACCGCAGGCTGCGCAGGCAGCCGCCAGGCTGCCCCAGGCTGCAGGCAATCCAGACTGCCGCCAGGCCTGCCGCCAGGCAACCGCAGTGACCGCCAGGCAACCGCCAGGCTGCCGAGCAACCGCCAGGCTGCCAAACGACCGCCGGGCGACGCAAGAGCTACCGCGAACCGCAGGCTGCCGCCGAGCTGCCGCAGGCAACCGCAGGAGCTGCCCCAGACGACCGCCAGGCTGCCGCCAGGCTGCCGCCAGGCTGCCGCAGGCAACCGCAGGCTGCCCAGGCAACCGCCAGACGAGCCGCAGGCTGCCCCAGAACTGACCGCCAGGCTGCGCCCAGGCAAGCCGCCAGGCGGCGCAGGCGGCCGCCAGGCTGCCTGAAGCTGCCGCCGGGCGACCGCCAGCAGGCTGCCCGAGCAACCGCAGGCTGCCGCCAGGCAACCGCAGGCTACCCCGGGCTGCCCCGACAACCGCCGAACTGGCGCTGACGCCTGGCTGCCGCAAGCAGCCGCCAGGCTGCCCCCAGGCTGCCGCAGGCGACGCCAGACTGCCTGGGCTGCGCAAGCAACCGCAGGCTGCCGCAGGCTGCCTGAGCTGCCCGCAGACAGCCGCCGACGACCGCCAGGCTGCCCCCAGACTACCGCAGGCTGCCGCCAGAGCTGCCTGGGCTCGCAGACGACCGCAGAGCTGCCGCGAACCGACCGCCAGGCTACTGAGCGGCGCAGGCGACCGCAGAGCTGCCTGAAGCTGCCGCCAGGCGGCCGCCGGGCAAGCCGCAGCAACCCGCCAGGCTGCACAGGCGAAGCGCTGCAGACTTTCGGTGCGCAAACTCCGCAGGCAGCCGCCAGGCACCACCAGACTGCCAGGCTGCCGCAGGCTCACCCAGACTAGCGCAGGCACCGCAGGGCGAAAAACGCCGCAAACCAGCCGCCGGGCAACCGCAGAGCTGCCTGAAGCTGCCGCAGGCAAGCCGCCAGGCAAACCGCCAGGCTGCCCTGAAGACCTGCCGCAGGCTGCCACCAGGCTACCAGACCAACCGCGGCAACCGCAGGCAACCGCCAGGCTACCTCAAACAGCCGCCGGGCAACCGCCGAGCTGCCGCCAGGCTGCCGCCAGAACGGCCGCAAGCTGACCGCCGAACGGCCGTGGAGCACCGCACGAACTGACCGCAGGCTGCCGCCAGGCTGCCTGGGCACCGCCCCAGAACCAAGACTGGAGCTGCCGTGAGCTGCCGCCAGGCTGCCGCCAGGCTGCCGCCAGGCTGCCCCCAGGCTGCCGCCAGGCTGCGCAGGCTGCCCCAGGGCAAGCCGCAGGCTACCGCAGACTGCCGCCAGGCTGCCAGGCTGCCGCCGATGCGCAGGCTGCCGCCAGGCTGGGCTGCGCAGGCTGCCGCCAGGCTGCCGCAGAGCTGCCGCCAGGCAAGCCGCAGGCTGCCCCAGGCTGCCGCAGGCTGCCGCAGGCGGCGGGCCTGCGCCAGACTGCCGCCAGGCTGCCGCCAGGCTGCCGCCAGGCTGCCGCCGGAGCTGCCGCCAGACGACCGCAGGCTACGCCAGCTGCCGCACAGGCTGCTGCGCCGCCCAGAGCTGCCGCAGGCAGCCGCCAGGCTGCGCAGGCTGCCGCAGGCCCGACCGCCAGGCTGCCGCACCAGGCTGCCGCCAGACGGTGCCAGGCCAGAGCTGCCGCGAATGCGCAGGCTGCCGCCAGGCTGCCGCCAGGCTGCCGCCAGGCAACCGCAGGCTGCCGCCCCCAGGCTGCCGCAGGCAACCGCCAGAGCTGCCCCAGGCTGCCGCCAAACCAGCTGCCGGGCTGCCCCAGAGCTGCCTGCCGGCGACGCAGAGCTGCCCGGCTGCCGCAGGCAACCGCAGGCTACCGCGAAGCTGCCCCGCACCAGGCTGCCGCCAGGCAACCGCAGGGCAGCCGCCGGGCAGCGCACAAGGCTGCCCCAGGCGACCGCCGAAACCCGGCCGCCAGAGCTACCCAGGCTGCCGCAGGCAACCGCAGAGCTACCCCCAGGGCTGCCGCAGAACAACCGCCAGGCTGCCCCAGGCTGCTGCAGGCAACCGCAGACAACCGCCAGAGCTACCGCAGGCAGCCGCCCCAGGCGTGCCGGTGCCCCAGGCAACTTGCCCCAGGCCTGCCGCCAGGCAGCCGCCAGGCTACCCCCAGGCTGCCGCGAGCGACCGCGGAGCTGCCCCAGGCCCTGCCGCGAACCGACCGCCGACTACTGGCTGCCATGAGCAACCGCCAGGCTACCGAGCTACGCGGCACGCAAACAACCGCAGGCAACCGCAAGCTGACCGCAGGCTACCGCCAGGCTACTGAGCTACTGCCGGCAACCGCAGAGCTGCTGAGCTGCCCCCAGGCAACCGCAGGCTGCGCCAGACAACCGCAGAGCGACCGCAAGCTACCCCAGGCTGCCGCCAGGCAACCGCAAACAACCGCCAACTGCCCAGGCAACCGCCAAACGACGCAAGCAACCGCAGAGCCTGCCGCCGCAGAGCTGCCAGGCTGCCGCCCAAACTGCCCGAGCTGCCGCAGGCAACGCCAGAGCTGCCCACAGGCCCCACGAGCAGCCGCGGGCTGCCTCCCGACAACCGCCGAGCAACCGCAGGCTGCCGCAGAGCTGCCGCAACTGACCGCGAACTGCCGCAGACTGCCGCCAGGCAACCGCAGGCAACCGCCAAGGCAACCGCCGAAGCTGCCTGAAGCTGCCGCCAGGCTGCATGCCAGGCTGCGCAGAACCGCCAGGCTACTGCCAGACAACCGCAGAGCGACCCGCAAGCTGCGCGCTGACACGAGCTGCCGCCGGGCCAACCGCAGGTGCCGCCAGGCTACGCGCTGAAGCTGCCGCGGCTGCAAAGCTGACCGCCAGAGCAGCCGCCGGGCTGCCCCAGGCTGCGCTGAGCTGCGCAGGCTGCCGAGCAGCCGCCAGGCTGCCGCCCAAACTACCGCCGGAAGCAACCGCAGGTGCCGCAGAGCTGCGCTGAGCTGCCGCAGGCGCTGAGAACAACCGCCAGAGCAACCGCAGGCTACCGCAGGCAACCGCAGGTGCCGCGGTACGCTGAGCCGCCAGGCACAGGCAACCGCCAGGCAACCGCCAGGACTGCCGCAAACCGCAGGTTGCACCGGCTACGCTGAAACTGCCGCCAGAGCTGCCCCTGAGCAACCGCCAGAGCTGCCGCAGACAACCGCAGGCAACCGCAGGCTGCCGCCAGGCTACCTGGGCCGCGACTGCCCCACAACCACTGAAGCAACCGCAGGCTGCGCAGAACTACCGCAGGTGCCGCAGAGCTGCGCTGAAGCTGCTCGGGGCTACTTCCCAAACGGCCGCAAGAACACGCGAGCAACCGCAGAGCAACCGCCGGCACTGAGCAACCGCAAGCTGCCCCGAGCAACCGCCAGAGCAACCAAACTGCCCCCAGAGCAACCGCCAGAGCAACCGCAGGTGCCGCAGAGCCACCTGGCTGCCAGGCTCCGCAGGCTCCGCAGGCAACCGCGCAGGCTGCCGCAGAGCTGCCGCCAAACAACCGCCAGACTGCCGCCCAAACAGCCGCAGGCTACGCCAGAGCCCCCCAAACTGCCGCAGGCTGCCCCAGAGCAACCGCCGAAGCAACCGCAGGTGCCGCAAACTGCCTAAACTGCCGCAAACTGCCTAAACTGCCGCAGACTCCACCAAACTGCCGCAAGCTGCCGCAGAGCAACCGCAAGTTCCACCAAACACCTAAACTGCCGCAAACTGCCGCAAACCTGCCAAACAACCGCAAACAACCGCAGAGTACCACCAAACTGCCTAAACTACCACCAAACTACCTAAACTACCGCAAACTGCCGCAAACTACCAAACTACCCCAAGCAACCACAAACAACCACCAAATTGCCGCAACTACCCTAAACTACCACCAAACTACCTAAACTACGCAAACTACCACCAAACTACCGCAGTCATAAAAAGATTAATGACTCAGCAGGTATAATACTTTTAACAAACTATAATAATTTTTCTCAATATAAATTCAATATAAATACAGAATAAAACAGCAGCATATAAATCATACAGCCATGTTTCTTTTAACGACTTCTCTAACTACCTAACTACATCACAGGGTTAACGATCACTGTCATTATATGCTTTCAACACTAAAAAAAAAAAAATAAAATAAAATAATACTAATCTGTAACACAAATAAAATCGAGAATATAAAATTTATTCCCAATAATAAAGTAAAATACCAATATTAAACAAAACACATACACACACATACACCATACATAACTAAAAACAAAATCACTCACGTATGCAAATTAAATAAAACATAATATAAACACCTGTGTATTATTACCAAGACTTATCCTCTTAACATTCTTCAATTCTTACAAAGGTCAAATTACCTAAAAAAGTTTATATATATACACACACATTCCAACACCTAATAAAATATAATATATACTTTCAGGAATAAATTACCCCAAAAGAGGATATTTTTCAAAAGTATTAAGACAAACTACCACTGATTATAACCATAGTGTTCCCAATATTCATCTCTTTCCTCAACAAACACGTAAACACAACACTGGAAAAGTTAAAACACTCAGTTATCGTACACTTTATAAACCGGGTTATATTAACTAAACTCTTATTATTGGTAACTATAGTGTGTGTGAGTAAAGATCTATATTGTTCTATATATAATTTTATTTTATTTATTTTATTTTTATAAGTTATGAAATTTCACTACAGTATATTCATCAGTTTTTAGAGTAGTTTTAAGTATGAAGTTCTTGGTGAAGATTATCAACTATCTTAAATTTCTGGTGTTTTATTGTAGTAATTAAATACACACACTCTACAGCTACACACAACCACCCTACACCACAACACATCACAACACACCCTACACCACACACACCCTACACACAACACACCACCCTATACACCACAACACCCTACACACCACAACACACCCTACACACCACAACACACCCTACACCACAACACACCCACCACCCTACACACACAACCACACCCTACACTGCACTCACACCACAACACACACCACAACACACCCTACACACACAACACCCCCTACACACCACAACACACCCTACACACCACAACACCCCTACACACCACAACACACCCTACACACCTCACCACCCCACACACCCCCAGCCCCACCCCACACACAACACACCTACACACCACACAACACCCTACACACACAACACACCTCACACCTGACACACCACAACCACCCTACACACCACAACACCCCCTACACACCACAACCACCCTACACACCACAGCACACCCTACACACCACAACACACCCTACACCACAACACACCCACCACACCACAACACACCCTACACACCCACAACACACCCCTACATCACAACACCCCTACCTCTGTACACCCTACATCTGAATGCCCTACACACACCACACCTGACACACCACAACACACCACAACACACCCTACACACCTGTGCACCCCAACACACCCTACACACCCCCAGCACACCCCTACACACACAACATACCCTACACACCCCAACACACCCCTACACACCCCACACACCCTACACACTACACCACAACACACCCACACACCCTACACACCTCACACACACACCCTACATCCTACACACCTACACACCACACACCTACACACCCTACACACCACAACACACCACACCACAACACCCCCAACACACCCTACACCCCAACACACCTACACACCACACACCTACACACCACAACACACCCTACACACCACAACACACCCTACACCACAACACACCCTACACATCTGCACACCCAACACACCCCTTACACACCACAACACCCTACACACCACAACACACACCACCACAACACACCCCAACACCCTACATCATCAACACCCCTACACCAGCAGTTTACAACAGAGAGACGCATAAACAAGGTGTAACATTAACATGATTGACAGGTAAAGTGAACACAAGCCAACACAAGATTACTTTATTAAATATTTATCACACACACACACGAACACACACACACACACACACACACACACACACACACACACACACACACACACACACACACACACACACACACACACACACACACACACACACACACACACACACACACACACACACACACACACACACACACACACACACACGCATAAAAGGTATTTCAAAGAGTTTTTGGTTGTAATAGCACATGCACAATGACATGAGGGACTTATTTGATGTTCACTTCGCTGTGTGCGTGTGTGTGTGTGAATTGGAGTTAAGATTGCCTTGGTTAGATTTGGATGGGTTAGATAGTCACAGCTTAACCCATAGCAATTTAAACTAACATAACCTAACTAAACCAAATAATCATGATTGAATTTGAGAAGAAGAAAGAAGAAGAGAGAAGAAGAAGAAGAAGAAGAAGAAGAAGAAGAAGAAGAAGAAGAAGAAGAAGAAGAAGAAGAAGAAGAAGAAGAAGAAGAAGAAGAAGAAGAAGAAGAAGAAGAAGAAGAAGAAGAAGAAGAAAGAAGAAGAAGAAGAAGAAGAAGAAGAAGAAGAAGAAGAAGAAGAAGAAGAAGAAGAAGAAGAAGAAGAAGAAGAAGAAGAAGAAGAAGAAGAAGAAGAAGAAGAAGAAAGAAGAAGAAGAAGAAGAAGAAGAAGAATGGAAGAGAGATGAGGTGAATAAGATGGGATTTGAGAGAATGTCAGAGGCAGGTGGAGAAATGTTGAGAGAGAGTACATAACATAGGAGGTGAACAGAGAAGGTGTGTGTGTGTGTGTGTGTGTGTCCATTACTAAATCTATCATCGTCATCATCATCATCATCATCACTATCCTGGTCATCATTATTATTATAGTCATCATCGTCACTAGTCTCGTCATCATTAACGCCATCATCATCACTATTCTCATCGTTGTCACCACCATCACCATCGTCAACCATCATCACTATCCCCATTATCATCACTATTCTCATTGTCGTCCCCATCATCATCATCATCATCATCATCATCATTATCATGGTCGCTAATATTCATTCCCACAGTTGAATTGTTTCTGCCTTCACAACGTTCCCGCCAAAAGAAAAAAAATAATGTAAACAAACAAAAAAAACGTGGATGGAAATGTTCCTGATAGCTGATTGGGTGAGGAACCTGAGACGCGACCAATTAGCCCCGCCCTCATACCGTAAACAGACCAATAAAGAAAGTGGCGGGCGTTGATTGGCTGGTGGCCTCCCAGACACAATCGCTGACGATATCAAATTTCCCGCCGACACACAACTGGCGGGAAAAACGGTATGACTGATAAAATGTGAGGTATGCAGATTAAGGTGTGATATTGTAAGTGCCTTAGATGGTATAAGTGAGGGTTTGTAAGTGTACCATGACTCTGACAGTGAATTATAAGTAAAGGCAACGCATTTAAGTGTCATTATCTTCACTGATCAACGTATTATTATTATTATTATTATTATTATTATTATTATTATTATTATTATTATTATTATTCCTTCAATTTATTTGATTAAAAATTATCTGGTTTTGGAAAACTTATGAGTCTATCTGACCAACACTGACAGACACAGAGAGACAGATAGACAATAGATAGATAGATAGATAGATAGATAGATAGATAGATAGATAGATAGATAGATAGATAGATAGATAGATAGATAGATAGATAGATAGATGAATAGATAGATAGATAGATAGATAGATAGATAGATAGGAAGGAAGGGAGAGCCGGGGAATAATGTCCTTGGGAGACGTTCAGTGAGAGTCCTTACCACCAGCATGGGACACAGGACTCCTTCAGGTGTCCTAAATACTGAGGCTGGGACTGGTGGGCATAAAATGTCTAAATAAGAATCCTACAGGCAGAAAGTCCCCAAGGATGCTTAAAATGTCCTATATACAGGATATGTAGAGACTGTTTAATATACGGATTCATATATTACCTTAACTTGTGTACTCTCTCTCTCTCTCTCTCTCTCTCTCTCTCTCTCTCTCTCTCTCTCTCTGTCTCTCTCTCGCTCTCTCTCTCTTTCTGTCTCTCTCTCTCTCTGTCTCTCTCTCTCTCTCTCTCTCTCACCAAACTCCTCACTCCCAACTGCACCAGGGCCCAGGTAAAGCTTTGAAGGTGGTATGCAAATTTCTTTTGGGGCAAACATCGTTGCCAGATGCCGGGGATAACCTCACTCTCTCTCACCCGTGGCTGGCTATACTGCAACCTCCAGCAAAAGAGTATATTTTGGGGTTATATTGCGGACCTGGAACACTGGGCTGAGAGCATAACCTGGATATATGTGGTTAGACTGAAGATGTTTATGTGGCTTATATGCACACACACACACACACACACACATATATATATATATATATATATATATATATATATATATATATATATATATATATATATATATATATATATATATATATATATACATACTATACAAACATACACACATACATACATACATACACATACATACATACATACATATACACACACACACACACACACAACCGCATCCAGCCCATACGTGCACGAACTGATCGCTATAAGAACAGCCCAGTCCCAACCATTGTAAAATTATCAATAACTTGTAATAAATCAGTGTA